TTGGTGGTCAGTAGAGAAGTGCTCCCATACATTGGTGGTCAGTAGAGAAGTGCTCTCTTCCGTTGGTGGTCAGTAGAGAAGTGCTCTCTTCCGTTGGTGGTCAGTAGAGAAGTGCTCTCTTACGTTGGTGGTCAGTAGAGAAGTGCTCTCTTCCGTTGGTGGTCAGTAGAGAAGTGTTCTCTTACGTTGGTGGTCAGTAGAGAAGTGCTCCCATACATTGGTGGTCAGTAGAGAAGTGCTCTCTTCCGTTGGTGGTCAGTAGAGAAGTGTTCTCTTACATTGGTGGTCAGTAGAGAAGTGCTCTCTTCTGTTGGTGGTCAGTAGAGAAGTGCTCTCTTCTGTTGGTGGTCAGTAGAGAAGTGCTCCCATACATTGGTGGTCAGTAGAGAAGTGCTCTCTTCCGTTGGTGGTCAGTAGAGAAGTGTTCTCTTACATTGGTGGCCAGTAGAGAAGTGCTCTCTTACATTGGTGGTCAGTAGAGAAGTGTTCTCTTACATTGGTGGTCAGTAGAGAAGTGTTCTCTTACATTGGTGGTCAGTAGAGAAGTGTTCTCTTACATTGGTGGTCAGTAGAGAAGTGTTCTCTTACATTGGTGGTCAGTAGAGAAGTGCTCTCTTACATTGGTGGTCAGTAGAGAAGTGTTCTCTTACATTGGTGGTCAGTAGAGAAGTGCTCTCTTACATTGGTGGTCAGTAGAGAAGTGTTCTCTTACATTGGTGGTCAGTAGAGAAGTGTTCTCTTACATTGGTGGTCAGTAGAGAAGTGTTCTCTTACATTGGTGGTCAGTAGAGAAGTGCTCTCTTCCTTTGGTGGTCAGTAGAGAAGTGTTCTCTTACATTGGTGGTCAGTAGAGAAGTGTTCTCTTCCGTTGGTGGTCAGTAGAGAAGTGCTCTCTTCCGTTGGTGGTCAGTAGAGAAGTGTTCTCTTCCGTTGGTGGTCAGTAGAGAAGTGTTCTCTTCCGTTGGTGGTCAGTAGATAAGTGCTCTCTTCCGTTGGTGGTCAGTAGAGAAGTGTTCTCTTACATTGGTGGTCAGTAGAGAAGTGCTCCCATACATTGGTGGTCAGTAGAGAAGTGCTCCCATACATTGGAGGTCAGAAGAGAAGTGTTCTCTTACATTGGTGGTCAGAAGAGAAGTGCTGTCTTACGTTGGTGGTCATTAGAGAAGTGCTCCCATACATCCCATACATTGGGAATTTTGGGGGGGGGGAGGGGGTGACGACGAGGACAAAGGGGAGAGGAAAGTGTGATGGACTGAACTGTCACTGGGGCTGTTGGAGGAGCCTGGGGGCTTACCTCCTTCCTAATGACTATGGAGAACCCCCCTTGGACAGTGCGGGGTAGCCCCAATGCAAGGGATACATTTTATTCTGGCCGGAGTAGTTCTTTAAATATTTTTTCAAAATGGCTGCTTACATTTCTCTGCTCTTTTCTGAAAACTCCAGAATTTTTTCCTCTGCTATTTAACGGGTCTGGGGAGTTGACATGACTGTCCCCATCTGCACTGTGCCGGCAGAACTCAGTGTTAAACTAGATTTGAGTACTGTCTGTCCTAACAAAGGGTTAAAGGTCTACAAGCAATGTATGTAGATGTGCACCGAAACGAAAATTTCCAAACCCGAAATTAAAAAAATGTCAGGCCGAAACCGAAAATGTTTTTAATTTTAACTTGTTCAAATTTTTTCAAATATTTTATTTATTTTTTATAAACTTTTTACATTTTTACCAATTGCTACTGTGGGGGGATCATGTATTGTGCTGCTCTGTGGACCATGTATTGTGCTGCTCTGTGGACATGTATTGTGATCAGACATCTGTATTTAGCCCTGGTGAGAAACTGCGCTAAAATCATCAGTTTGTGTTTTCTTAGAAAAAAGTCACATGTCACTTTAAGAAAAAGTATCGGTAATTGGTATCGGCAAGTACATGAGGACAAGTACTTGTACTTGGTGTTAAAAAAGTGGTATCGGGACATCCCTAATAAATAGGGAAGCAGGTAGTTTACCACGACAGTAGAAGTGATTTCTGAAGATACGGGTAAACAACGCGATTTAACAGCCTTTGAACGTGGGATGATTGTTGGCGCTCGGAGCCATGGAGCGAGTATCAGCAAAACAGCAGAATTCGTTAAATGTTCAAGAGCAGCTGTTGTTAAAGTGTTTAAAGACTGGACTGTCAGCCGAAAATCTGGGTCTGAACGTGCGAATTGTGGCCGTCAGCGACTAGTCAATGTTGGGGCAGAACGGGGGAGGGGGCAAGACTGGTACAAGACAACAGAAGGGTAACAGCGCCGTGTCAGATTCCTCGCATCACCTTTCATCATCTCGTGGAGTCACGAGGCGGCCCAACGAAGTACTGATGGGGTGGTCATAATAATCTGGCCACTCAGTGTATATGCTTCATGCAATATTAATAATACAATAGAAATTATTGCTAATACAATTTCTTGCAATTAATAGTACTTATTCATAAGGCAACTTTTATAATGAGTTCTTTTTCCAGTAATGAGAAGGAAAAAAAAAGTCATAGTCTCTTTTGTTCTTTGTTAAGTTTGAGGCATGACGGTTATCAATCTCATTATAACACAGCCTGGCCCCATGGCCAGTCGTTATCTTGTGGTTGTTGTCTGGTACCCCCACAATTTATACCCTGGGAATGTATGTGGTAAGGCTCTTAAGAATTGTTGATATTCAAGTCTTTGTCCAGCAGGAGCCATGAACTCACATTCACCTCATATACTGATATAACAGACAGAACAAAGATGGCTTCCAGGATGCCCACGTTACAATATGTAGAATAATATGCATAGGCGTTATAGTTTAATTCCATTGTAGCCTCAATAGTTCTGACATACCCCTCCCCCCCTTATCACCCGAGTCAACTTGGGACATGACCAATGCCCAGGTGGGATGCTAGAGCAAGCAACTGAGGGCTCTAAGCTACCTGAGTGGCTGTGGGCGCCCCCCAACACCCAGTTGCCCCCCAATGAGATGCTGCCTGCGGTAACTGCCTCAGGTTGCCTCATTATGGACTGATGCCCTTACCGGATAACATCCCTTCAATATGTGTAAAATAGGGCTGTGGAAATTAACGATTAATTACCCGATTAATCGTAAAAAAATTTGATCGATTAAAATTCTTTGGATCAATAATGAAAACACTCACCTCTCCCGTCGAGTCCCGTCGGAGATCCGGTGACGTCGACGTCACCGGACTCCTCCCCCCTTCCCTTCATTAGCCGACTGAGCCACTTGGGCCGGTGATCTGTCGACACTTATCGAGTTCTGCGACCGCCTGACTTCCGGTTTTGTTACAACTAAGAGGTTTGCCCAAGAAACTTATTCTGCACGAGCGCCAGCCAAGGCATTGGCCTATACACATACAGCACAGCAATGAAGTAATAAAATGAACTAGGATCCCACTAATCCAGCACGTTATTATTCTGAGTTGCCCCACTCAAGCGGCGGCCATATTGAGTGGGGCACGTGAGATTAATAACGTGCTGGATTAGTGTGATCCTAGTTCATTTTATTACTTCATTGCTGTGCTGTATGTGTATAGGCCAATGTAGTTGGATCTGTATGTGCGTTATAATTGATCGAAATTAATCGATTAAATTTTTTTTCCATTAATCGAACACGAAATTTTTAATCAGTAACAGCCCTAGTGTAAAATAAAACATACAGTAATTCACTCTTGAATAATAAATATTTATTAAAAGACACAATTCTTAATATACAAATAAAACGTCCTATTTACAGCCTACAACCTTTAAAAAAACACACAAGCTACATGCACACATGGCTGGCAAATCCCACATAGTATTATATTTTTAGGACCTAGTCATTAATGCTGAACTCTAGCCAGATAAAAAAAAAATCATGCCGTTTTTATTTAACATTAAATCTATTTAGTGTAAGCAGCTAATTCTGACACACCCCTTCCCTTCATTAGCCGACTGAGCCACTTGGGCCGGTGATCTGTCGACACTTATCGAGTTCTGCGACCGCCTGACTTCCGGTTTTGTTACAACTAAGAGGTTTGCCCAAGAAACTTATTCTGCACGAGCGCCAGCCAAGGCATTGGCCTATACACATACAGCACAGCAATGAAGTAATAAAATGAACTAGGATCCCACTAATCCAGCACGTTATTATTCTGAGTTGCCCCACTCAAGCGGCGGCCATATTGAGTGGGGCACGTGAGATTAATAACGTGCTGGATTAGTGTGATCCTAGTTCATTTTATTACTTCATTGCTGTGCTGTATGTGTATAGGCCAATGTAGTTGGATCTGTATGTGCGTTATAATTGATCGAAATTAATCGATTAAATTTTTTTTCCATTAATCGAACACGAAATTTTTAATCAGTAACAGCCCTAGTGTAAAATAAAACATACAGTAATTCACTCTTGAATAATAAATATTTATTAAAAGACACAATTCTTAATATACAAATAAAACGTCCTATTTACAGCCTACAACCTTTAAAAAAACACACAAGCTACATGCACACATGGCTGGCAAATCCCACATAGTATTATATTTTTAGGACCTAGTCATTAATGCTGAACTCTAGCCAGATAAAAAAAAAATCATGCCGTTTTTATTTAACATTAAATCTATTTAGTGTAAGCAGCTAATTCTGACACAATATCAGTGTCTCTGTAAGGAGGCATTGTACTCTGAGCCAATCAGGCACTGCTACATGCACATGTGCTGCCACAGGATGAGATGACCTCATCAGTCTGCTGCTGCTCCTTCCTCATTCAATCATAGGCTAGAAGCAGGGAGTTGACTTAGCTGTGCTGCTCAATGGCAGTGAGAGACCAACAAGGTCATCGATCAGCATTTAAAGTTCAGCATTCACTTTTACTGTATGGGTAATGTCATAATTAAGTGTTAGGGTCAGCCTAAGTGTTGGGTATCCGGGCATAAGGGGCTACACTTTATTTCCGCACTTGTTATCCTGTAGCAGTTTCTTATTGCCACAACAAAACATTTACAAATTGGAAGATATTTCACTGGGACGGGCTTGTAATGGCACTTCGTGGCTGTAGTGTAACTGCTGAGGTCCCCTGCAGAGTCGAGATGGAGACAGGGTGGCACTTCGGAAGGTTAGGTCTCGCTGGTAGTCCGAGTGGGCTGGCTGATGGCTGACGTGGTAGTAAGCATCACTCCTACCCAACTGGGGAGCTGGGGCACTCTGTGCTCGTGGGTGATAGGTGTTGTAGTAAGGGGGGGGCATTGAATAGGACACGGCATACTCCTTCTGGTACCGTATTGTGTAGTGTCCGCTGTACTGAGAGCTATTATTCCTGCCGATCAATCCTGATTTAGCGCTTTGGCATGCCACTGCTTTTTCATTGTACGGGGCACCTATAAAAACAGAGCAGGTTAAGGAGTTCGGTATGCAATAAATATGATATAATATGCTATATTCAACGGGATTCCTTACTGCCGTACTGCACCTGTCATGACTGTGTACTGAAAATAAAAGCCTGTCCCCTGCAAACATGCTGTAGAGTGGGGAAGCAGTGGTCTCTGTGCAGAGGTCCACCATGCTGCCTGCTGAGTCAGACTTATAGCTCTACAATCAGCTGATAGGAGTGCTCTGGCTCTGACTCAGCAGAAAGCATGTCAGACATCTGCAGAGAGTCCACTGCTTCTACACAGAGAGCAAAGATTCTTCTCTGCAGCAGTGACGTGCGGTACCTCTTGCTCCAGGGTGAGGCATTCCCCAGCCTCGCCCCCAGCATGTCCTGCCCCACCCCCTGCCGTCCGAACCCCTGCTCCCTGCCGGATGAAGCACCGCCCCTACCGGGCGCAGCCCGTCCCCAAGCTAGTGTAAAAAGGACTTGCTTGTCACTGCTGAGGCATCGAGATCGATGGACCCCCAGCATGTTGACATCCCGCCTCCAGTTTGCCAATGCCCCGACCCCAACCCTGTCACCAAGCTATGTGTGGAGGAGGAAGGGAGGAGACAGGGAGGAGCCTCTCCGTCCCTTACTTGCTCCTCACTGCTGAGGCGCTCCGTCTATGACAGGTTACAAAGCGGTGAGGATTTCCCTACTGTGTAACCTGTTAGATGCCGATCTGAACGGAGAAAAAGCTGTCAGCTTCAGACATGAAGCTGACAGCTTTTTCCTTCATAATTCTAGGTGAGGCTCTGCCTCCCCTGTCTGCACGTCCCTGCTCTGCAGCATGGCAGCAGGGGACAGGCTTTTTCATTCAGGCTGTGGCTGCTTAAAACAATCTGTTAGACATGTTTGATGCATCTGGAATGTATTTCATTAATTTGAACTTAAAGGAGAACTGTGGGGTTGATGCTTTTCCACATAGTTCTCCTTAGGGTAACGGGAGGGCACAAACTAGCGTCTTCCCGTCACCCTAGGCTCAGTATACCGCGAGCTGTACCTCGTGGTATACTGAGGCGCTGAAGCGGATCCCGATAATTGTGCCGGGATCCGCCCAGCTGCGTGACTGACAGCTGGCTCTGCCTATCTAGAGGCAGAGCCAGCTGTACCCGCCCCCTCCCCCGTCCGTTCCGCCAGTCAGCGCTGGCGGATCGGAGGGGGCAATCCAGCCCCTCCCCCTGTCACGGCAGAGAGCCGTGACAGGATCGAGAGGTGAGCGAACGCCGGTAAGTGTTCGCTCACCTCCCGATCTACTGAGCCGACCTGTGACAGTCTCATTGTCACAGGTCGGCTAGAACTATGAGGTGAGTGAAAAGCACTCACCTCATAGTTCTCCTTTAAGGTCCCGTTGCAGCTTAAACGAGACCTGTACTGACAAAATACACGGGCTGCCTCTGCCGAATGCCATGCTGATTCAAAGGCTTCATTACTTTGAGACCACTGCCCTGAAACAAGTATGCAGATCAGCCCAATTGAAGTCTAAGGTTAAATTAGCTAAAAACATTTCAGGTGCATCAAAACAAAAGCAGCCACAGCCCGAGTAGATAAGCCTGTCCACCGGCCAGCATGCTGCAAAGTGTAACCCTTGTTCTCTGGAGAAGCAGTGGTCTCTCTGCAGAGGCTCAGCACACCTCCTACATAGTCAGACCTATAACTCGCCAATCAGCAGTGCTCACACTCCCTGCTGATTGGACAGTTCTAGCTCTGACTCAGCAGGGGACGTGTCAGACCTCCGCAGAGAGACCACTGCTTTCCCACAGAGAGCAAGGGTTCCACTCAAGAAAACAAAGTGTTATACTTTCAGCACCTCTTGTATTTGATACACCTGGAAATGATTTAGCTTATTTGAACAGTTGGGCTCTAAAGATGAAAAGTGATAGGTAGTAAATCCTACCTGTCTGTTGCTGGGTGGGCAACACACTTCCTTTCTTCACACCTTCCCTGCTGGTGTCAGAGGCACTGTCATTGAAGTCACTGTCGCCTTTCCCACTGTCCTTGGCACTGAATTGCTCTGGTGATAGGCAACTGAAAAGAAAATGTTATATATGTTATACATTTATATCTTGGAGTTTTCTTTTAAATATATATACATATTTATTATAATGTAGAACATTATATTCATTTATAGTTTTTGATACCATAGAGCAGCGGCTCTCAACCAGGGGTCGCCCTGGGAGTCTCCCGCTTTTAGATAGCGGCTCCTGGCCGCCGGGAGAGAAACACTTTCTCCCGGAAAGGTTTACTCTGCTCGATCTAGCGATCCTGCGATCGTTTTTTTTTTTCTGACATCGGGGGCCGCCGTAAGTCAGAAAAAAAAACAAAAAACCACCATAGGAAGGCATAGCTAGATTCCAATTGGCTATTTCACTTTGCAATAGCCAGTAGCAAGCTAGCTATTGCACCCGCCCTCTGCTGCTGCCAATCAGCAGAGGGGGACCTGCAGTTCTCCATCAGGTCCTCTTATAGTGATTGACAGCAGCAGAGGGCGGGTGCATTAGCTAGTTTGCTATTGGCTATTGCAAAGTGAAATAGCCAATAGGAATCTAGCTATGCATTCCTATGGTGTTTTTTCTTTATTCTGACGGCGTACGCCAGTGGTGAGAGTCCTCCTCAGCCCTCTCCTAGCGCAGCAGTGTCAGTTCTCCAGCCACGCCGCCAAATGTTGCTGCAGCAGCCGCGTCAACCCTAAATTTTACCGTTGGGGGTCACCACAACTTGGCAAATGTTACCAAGGGGTCCCGGCCCTAGAAAGGTTGAGAACCACTGCCGTAGAGGGACATTTTAAATAATTTTCAGGTTTTAGGGCCCCCCTGCTAAAGTGAATTCATAGGGGGTCAATGGGAAAAATGCCCCTTATGTTGGTGGTCACAATGTCCCTTACAATGGTGGTCAGTGAAAAGAATGCCTCTTACATGAGTGGTGAGTGGAAAGAATTACCTCAGCCGGCTTAGCCCCCCGAATCAAGATTTTTGAACAAAACTTATGCAGTTTGTTAGATCTTTGTTAGATCAGGTTAGATCAATTGTTGTTTGCGTTAGATCTCACATAGAAGATATAGATATTAACAGTTATTTTCTGTCCCTCTATGCCAGCAGGTGTGTCAAACTCAATTTAATCGTGGGCCGCATCAACATTATGATTGCCCTCAAACGTATCTGTAAGACTATATAAAATGTATCTAATCTTTATCATAATTGCCTCTGCATTCGATTATCGCTGGTTTTAGTAATAACTTAATACCTAGGTCTGGAAGTAGAAGTCTAGGAAATGGCCTGGTGGGCCGGATTTGGCCCCTGGTTCTTGAGTTTGACACATGTGCTCTATGGTATCAAAAAGGTTCAGAAACTATAAATGAATATAATGTTCTACATTGGTAGAACTCTTACAGACAGCTAAAAATATATCTAGTGTCATCAGGCCCGGATTACCCACAAGGCCAACGAGGCCCGGCAGGGCGCAGAGGGGCAGCAGCGGTGTCCTTGTTGGGAGGTTGCGTGCGCCGGGCGGTAAGTTGCTCTCTCTACATTTAGTCCTGCTTTGCACAAGCAGGACTAAATGTAGAGTGAGGGAAGCAGATTGTTTGTTTACATATGATCTCGGCGATGTCGCCGAGATCACATGTAAAAAGTCTGCAGCCTCCCCACCTCCTCTTCCCTCCCCCCTGCACTTACCTCTCTCCTCCTGGTTCCGTCCTCCAGGCTCCGCCACCGAGTCTCTCCTCACTGCAGGGAGCAGAGCGGCAGGGTTAAAAGTAACCCTGCCGCTCCGTGTAGACAGTGAGAGGGGAGAGCAGTGCTCTTCCTCTCTCAGCTGTCACAGAAGTTCCAGCACAGTGCTGTGCTGGAACTCCTGTATTGGAGGTGACAGGGTCAATAAAGAGAACCTGTCACCTACAAATGCTATCGCACAAGGGATTGTTTTCTCCTGTGTGATAGCAATAAAGTTAGGTGACATTTTTTTTTTAATTCGATTATCGCTGGTTTTAGTAATAACTTAATACCTAGGTCTGGAAGTAGAAGTCTAGGAAATGGCCTGGTGGGCCGGATTTGGCCCCTGGTTCTTGAGTTTGACACATGTGCTCTATGGTATCAAAAAGGTTCAGAAACTATAAATGAATATAATGTTCTACATTGGTAGAACTCTTACAGACAGCTAAAAATATATCTAGTGTCATCAGGCCCGGATTACCCACAAGGCCAACGAGGCCCGGCAGGGCGCAGAGGGGCAGCAGCGGTGTCCTTGTTGGGAGGTTGCGTGCGCCGGGCGGTAAGTTGCTCTCTCTACATTTAGTCCTGCTTTGCACAAGCAGGACTAAATGTAGAGTGAGGGAAGCAGATTGTTTGTTTACATATGATCTCGGCGATGTCGCCGAGATCACATGTAAAAAGTCTGCAGCCTCCCCACCTCCTCTTCCCTCCCCCCTGCACTTACCTCTCTCCTCCTGGTTCCGTCCTCCAGGCTCCGCCACCGAGTCTCTCCTCACTGCAGGGAGCAGAGCGGCAGGGTTAAAAGTAACCCTGCCGCTCCGTGTAGACAGTGAGAGGGGAGAGCAGTGCTCTTCCTCTCTCAGCTGTCACAGAAGTTCCAGCACAGTGCTGTGCTGGAACTCCTGTATTGGAGGTGACAGGGTCAATAAAGAGAACCTGTCACCTACAAATGCTATCGCACAAGGGATTGTTTTCTCCTGTGTGATAGCAATAAAGTTAGGTGACATTTTTTTTTTAATTGAGGAAGGAACTATGCAAGCACCATCAGATAGGAGGTTAGCCATCTGCAGTTCCTAGCGACCTCAGGAGAAGCCCTAAGGTTCCACTGATCCCTAGGTGAGAATGGCTGATGTAGAGAATGCAAAAAATTGGGAGAACATTTGGGTGGTGAGTTGTTTGACGTATTGGATAATTGTTACCTTGTACCATCCGCTGTCTTTTCTTGCTGTGTACCATCTGCTATCTTTTCTTGCTGCCAGTCAGACAAAGGAGCACCAACTGAGCTCTGAAAATAAAATAAATAAAAGTACAATTTAGTGTATAAGTAGGTTTCTGTCTTCCTCAATAATCTACAAAAGATACCACTATAATGGCACTAAAACGAAGGCTTTAACACAACAGTGATACCTGTGTGATGAAAATCATCCACCAACTATTGTCCCTGGATTGAAATTTACTTAGGGGTCAGCTAGAGCCTTTGCAGAGCCCTTAGTCACTTTGCTCTGCATTGGACAAGACGTAGGAGGTTCAATTCCCAAAGCTAAAACACCAGAAAAAGGGTCCTTATTTTTTTTAAATAAAAAGTGACCGCAGTTTTCAGCTGATTCCAAAGAGATTTAAAAATTACCATCACATGGCTGAAAATAAAGATCCTTATCTTTGTGTTAAGCTTAATGAATGAAGTCCAATATTGGTATCCTGCCTCTCTATTGGCCTACAGAGTTCAGCAGCCAACACCATACATCCAAGGGCCCATTTTCACAAAGGTGCACATTGAAAATGCATGGTATGGTTTGTGGTATAAAGTGTTAATTTGCCGGCATTGCAGATAATGTGTATGCAAGGATGCAACTTCTTAAATGCTAATGTGCACACCTAGAATGAGCATGTGTATGAGAATTAGTACCCCTAGATCCCAAGTGATTCATAACAGAGCTATAGGCATGTTAATTTCCAAACAGTATGCAGCAGGTGTGGCTACACAGAAACGTTTTCTAAGCTAACGTATACAAGGATACTAGTTTTTATTATTTAACACATAAAAAATGGTCTATTGGTCTCCTTATCTGTAGAAGTAGTTACAAGCATATTTCTCTATGAATTTTCATTTCTAAAAAATATATGCTGGCAACCTTCCATTGTAGTATGTAAAAGCAGGCAGTACTTACATTTGAAGCTGAATGCAGGTCCCTACATTGGTCTCTACTGGATGTCAGACTGCAGCTCTCGGATTCCGTGCTGACCGACAGTTGACAAGAGTCAGAGGAGGTAGAGGAGGAATCCTTAGGAGTGGCTGTGGTATTGAGAAGCCGGTCTTCTGCTTCCCTCCGGCGCTCTTGGGATTCCTGCTTAGAACGTCCAGTTCGGCCTTTACAGGTACAAGCCACGAATAAGATGGCAACTAGCAGCAAAGTGCAACCTCCTGATAATACAGCGATGAAGATAATGGATAGATCTAATTTCTGCTGCTCTTCCTCTACTGACTGCATGACAACTATCTCCACATTAGAGGGAGGACTGTCAGTGAGAATGAACTTTATGGTGGCATTGCAGGACAAGGAAGGCCTACCACTGTCATAGACTACAACCACAATGCTAAGGTCCACATCTTGTGTTGGCTTTATTATCCTGCGTAGTGAAACTTCCCCACTTGCTCTGTTAATGGTAAAGAGCTTGTGTTTGTCCTGTTGTATGGTATAAGTAAGTTGTGAGTTCAGTCCTTCATCTGCGTCCACAGCTTTTACTTTAAGCACTAAGTAATTTTGTGGAGACTTGACTGACAACAAAACGTCTGCTGATCCATTGTCTATCAAAGGAGATATTATCACCGGGGGGTTGTCATTTCTATCAAGTATTTTTATTTTCAACTGAGTACGAGTTGAAAGTTTGGGAACACCGTGGTCGCTGGCCTCAATTTCAAGGTCGATTTCTTTAAGCTTTTCATAGTCCAAAGATCTAACAGTACGGAGGATTCCGGAGTCAACATCAACAACAACAAATGTAGACAAAGACTGACCCATTATCTTTCCATCTAATAGTCTGTAAGAAACTTTGCCATTGTGCCCTAGGTCAGGGTCTTTGGCCACAACTGTGGCGATATATGCCCCAGGGACATTATTCTCCAAGACAGATACTTCATACAGTGATTTAGTAAATGAAGGGGCATTGTCATTCTCATCACTCACCCAGATTTTATAGTGTTTGGTCATCTTCAGTGAAGGGAATCCAAGGTCTTCAGCCACAATTGTCAGGTTGTATTCAGCTATCATTTCTCGGTCAAGTAGTGAGGTGGTGACGATCATGAAACTATTCTCGCTGGCTTGATGTAGCTTGAAGTGCTCATGGCCAAAAAGTGTACAATGAACTTGTCCATTTATCCCAGAGTCTCTGTCTTCTACACTGATCAGTGCAATAAAACTGTCTTTAGCAGCTGCTTCAGTGATATAGGCTACCCCCATGCTAGTAGACGTTAAGGGAGTGATAGTAATTGCTGGGGTATTATCATTGACATCTATAATATGCACTGTGACTTTGCAGGTTGCAGTTAGTGGGTTAGGACCCATATCTTGTGCCTGGACATCAAACTCATAAAAATGTTTAGTCTCAAAATCTACTTCACCTTCTAAAGATATAGCGCCTGACTTAGCATCAATTTTAAAAAGCTGACGTACCTCTTCGGACACCTGAGCACTGAAGCCATATATAATTTCTCCATTTGCACCCTCATCATAGTCAACTGCATTGAGGTCTAAAAGTAGATATCCCACAGAAGCATCCTCCAACAAGTCCACAGTGAGGGAACTCTTCTCAAAGACTGGAGTGTTATCATTGAAGTCCAGGACACGGATATTAACCTTTGTGCTTCCAGAGAGTGGAGGGCTTCCACCGTCACTAGCCACCAACTCCAAGGTATATAAGGACTCAGTTTCTCTATCAAGTTCTTTCATAAGAATCAGTTCAGCATATTTCAGTCCATCTGCCCTGGTCTGTACATCAATACCAAAGTGACTGTTTCCAGAGATGAGATAATCCTGGACAGAGTTCAGACCTATATCTTCATCTACTGCCATCTGTAAAGGGATTCTGGTACCCACTGGAGCTGCTTCAGAGACATCCACATGCATCTCAGAGTTTGGAAAGTGCGGGCTGTGGTCATTAATATCCCTCACCTCCACCTTGACATTAATGAGTTTGAATTGATCTGTGGAAAAACTGACCATATCCAGAGACAGAATGCAGTTTGAAGAGCCCCGGCAAATTCTTTCCCGGTCTATCCTTTTCACAATACTCAGCTGGCCATCGCTCTCCCGAACATGGATGAAGGAGCTGTTGGATTGCTTCATCAGTCGAAAATTGGTAGCAGGTTCCTCCGTAGCATTAAATACTGAGTGATGGGATAAAACTGCAATCACCGTTCCAGTGGCTTCTTCTTCATTGGTGTAGAGATGGATGGTTTCACCGAAACATAAAGACGAAAAGAGGCTCGACAAGAGTACCAGTCTGACTGGAAGAAAGCAGAACATTTTTTTGTGCTTGAAGCTCAAGTATGTGCCTAGGTTCGGTTCTGTAGATGAGAGTTCAGCTCAAGTAGCTTCACGGTGATCTAATGAGCCTGGTCCTCTCTCCACTCAAGTTACATGCTCAATGTTCAATGATATGCAAATAGCACTGACACAGCAGTCACCAATCTCTGGTCTCTAGGACAAATGGTCAATGTGGCTGGACAAATGAAGTTGCAATTAACACTAGTCTCAGCAGGAGTCCAGCTAATATACTGCTAGACACATACGGAGTGTAAGTCAAATATACATTTCAAACTTGCACAGGAAACACAGTTAAAGTGCACTAGAAGACATATGTGATTAAGCCAAGCTTGTTGTTAATGAAAAGTAAATATCAACTTACATAGTATGACAACAGCTGTCTGAGGACATAAAATGAATAAACCAGCAAAGTTCTTTACCTGAATGGTAACGTGTATTTGATAGTGTATTGCTAGCCAGGACGAGTCAGCTTTTTGGCTACTACACTTAAGAAAAACCCCATAGAAACACAATAATAGTCTGATACCTTATATTTGTATGTTATGATCAGACTTGTTTTGGAAGCAAACCTCTATTGGTTGAAAGCTTTTCACTGGCCTAGGATAGACTTGAGATAACAATGATGATCCAGCCATTTTTAGGCCATCAGTGGGTGTCCAGACATTGTTGGCCAACTGCACTCAAGAAAACTTGTTTTGATAATAATTATTTCCTCATTTTGGTTAGTAGTGATTCAAAAATCAGCTTCTACTTTCCAAATTCTTCCTCCCCCCTCCATTGACATGAATTGGACCTGTGTCTTTATTCAACCTCAATAACTATGCAACTATGTAAATTGTACTCTCAGCTGAGCTAGGCATATAGGTTTCTGGAGGACTCTGGGGACATTTTAGGCTTACTACAGATTTTACAGAATGGTTGGACCCGCATACATGATTAGACCTTCCCAGTGTCATCTCAGGCCAATCTACTTGGAGGCACATGCATGATCAGACCATCTCTTATTGTCTCCTCATTGTATTGGTCATTAGTATTGCACTTGCTGATCATCCTGACTCCTCAGATGGATTATTATAGATATTTATATAGCACCAACATTTTGCAAAGCACTTTACATTCAAATCAGTCCCTGCCCTCAAGGAGCTTACAATCTAAGGTCCCATCTCACATGCATACACACATACTACAGCCAATTTAGAGAGGAGCCAATTAACCTTCCAGCATCTCCTTGGGAGGAAACCAGAGAGCACAGGGAGAACATGCAAACTCCATGCAGATAGTGTCCTGACAAGGATTCAAACCAGGGAGCCTTAGGGGTGCAAGGCAGAAGTGCTAAGCAGTAAACTACTGTGCTGAATTGGGAGATCTCTTGCTTCCTCAATGCAAGGATGACGACACAGTGGTATACCTGCTTGCTTCTTCACAATGATCGTACCGTGGCCATAACTCATGCCTATAGCTATTGTGAGCTGAACTCTCAATTTTCTTTCTGATCTTCTTAGGCAAAATTTGCTTTTAAAAAATCAACTTTTATTTCTTTATATAAAGGGAGTGCCTTTCAGAGAATTTAGTTTATTTAATTTAGTGTTTGTAATTGTTTCTTTTTCATATCATTATGTGCATTTGATCCTTATATGTGTACTGTCTCTTTAAATGTTATATTTTTTTAACCATTTTTTGTTGCTGTCTGTGTTTTTCTTTCTGTAAGAAAATGTAAAATAATGGGGGTAATAAGGTGCCAGATGTTGATAGCAGAACAGGTCCTGGATAGTTAAAAGGAGCTTCCGCAATAATCAGAAGCCATTTAAAGCCCATAGCACCAATACAAACCACCAAAAACACCACCTTAAAGTAGTTGTAAAGTCCCGGCATATCTTCTCCGGTTATAACATCAGCATTGTAATAGGAATACATTCTAGAGTTGTCTTTGATAATGCAATGCAATGAAAGCTTACATGTGATGCAATCTCCATTTCTCAAAATTACATATCCCATTATGCATTGCTTCCAGCAAGCAATGATAACGTTACATTGTTCAAACATTTGAGTTGTAGTTCAGACGGTAGGCTCTGTGAGAGTGGTGACACATGGAAGTGGATATTCACAGGGCTGAATGAAAAGGAAGTCCTCCATATGGGCATCGTCAATAAATCAGTTTACAAACCTCTAGATGGATATGGTTATTAGGAGTGGGATACAACTTATGAAAATGCAATATACAAATATATTAGACAGATTTCTTGTCGTGTCTTTTCCAGCTGACAAGGTTCTTACCGGACAGGAAGTGAGGGAAACTCTCAGCAACACAGACAGAAATAAAAATAGTTTTTAAGTAGAAACGTGGAAGGCTAGGGCCCTATGTCAGATATTTTGCTCTGTCTGTGACTCTGTTGGAGATTTCTCCTCAATACCTGTCCAGCTGACAAGGTTCTACAAGACAGGAAGTGAGGGGAACTCTCAGCAACACAGTAACGCTGTTGTAGATTCCCCCCCCCCC